CACTATTATTATGGAAACATAATTATCTTCTATTTTTTTTACATTTTCACTTTTAATTACACCTATGATTCTACAAAAGGTCATTTTCATCAAATTTTATCCAATTTCTCTGCTAACTAAAGGGTATTCTAGTCATTCTTTCTTTCTTTCACATTTGAACCCATTTCTTCTCTCTGTCTTCCTCTAATATTTGTATTCACTCTTTTGTATATACTAGTCGATGATATGTGCAATGCACGAGTTGTGCATCAATTTTGGTTTGGTTAGTGTACTATGGAAAGTTTTTTAAAAATATATGGGACGATAAAATTATTGGCAAAGTATTATTTGCTGGTTAGCTTCGACAAGTAAATATAGGAAATCGTGCAATGATTTTATGTTACAACACATCGTTTATATGTTCAGGTGTTTAACTGTGATATTTATTTGCTTGGATTAGAGCAAAGGGAAGACAAGTGTCAAGAAAAATATAAATTGTATTATTAAGCTTTCTTGTCTTTCCAAAGTTTAAATGCAAGAAAATGCTACACCCAACCAATCAAAACTAATACAATGAAGTAGAAACACTGAGTAAAACATTTTTCCCCAGGTGTCAGTGGATGATTGTCTACAATTTTCAATAGCATGCTCCAAATAACACATTCTAAAAGAAGCAATCAAAATAGCAAGCATCCTCGAATTAGTCAAAGTATAGTTGCAAAAAGGATTGTAGCTTGTTAGTTTTGATGCCATCACATTATGCAACATCAGTGCAAATTATCAACGAGAACCATAATATTTTATGATGTATTCAAAAGCAGCAAGTGAAATAAGTTCTTGCATACTTGCATATAAAACATTCATTGACATTTTATCTAAACTGTCATACATCTAAATCCAATCGATCAAGTTCAAGTGCTAAACTTAAGAAGCCCACTTTTAATACACCGCATAAATGTTCCAAATTCATTATTACATTTTAACACAGCATTCCAAATTATAAATAGAAAATAAACATTTTTAACATTCAAATTGTGTCACAAGCAACAAATGAACAAACTACCTTCTTTAGTTCCAGCTTCGGCGGTGGAGGTTTCTAATAAAAGCTTGGCATTGGTGTTGCCTTGAATGCCAAACTCTTCCTTTAACATTTTAATCTCAAGTTCCTGAGATCCCTACTCATGGAAAAAAATAAAGGAAAGATGGAGAAACTTGATCTTACAATCCACCAATGAAAGTTTGAATTCATAATATGATACAAAATCTTACCTTAGTTTTGGCTTGCAAATTACTCTTCTCTGCTTCCTTAGTGTGGATCTTTTTCTCAAATTTTGAATAGAACTGCTCAAACAAATAAGATATATATGTCTAAGGTGTAGGTCATGCAGGAAATATCGAATTGTCGGTACCACTGACTCAAAGAAAGGATAACTTCTCTTCTTTTCTCAGTTCTTTCATCACATTCAAAACTGAAATTATAGTTCGGAAGAGCACCCTATCTTTGGGGTTTGGCATCACTCTTATTATTTTTTCGTTTCTGAACCTTCCATTGCACCTTCGTCGAACTAAATTATCCATTAACTCTATTAATTTATTTGTACACAATGAAAAAACTTTCATAGAGATGTAAGGGTCAATTCAAAAATTGAACAGAGGAGGAGCAATAAATACTGTGTGGAAAACCCCTAAAAAGAGAGTTCAAGAAGCCTTGAAAAATGCAATCTTTGGATCTTCTGCAAGTTTTTCTACTTATTGGCATATCTTTTCCACTGCATATGAAAAGTGGCACTAAATTCCTGAAAATGAAAAGGGCATCAGATTATCTATTTAAGGAATCAAGAAATGAAATTTTTTTCATGAGTTCAATCAAATGGCTTCCTATATGGCTTATTTTTCTCCTAAAAGTTGTGACTAAAATGTTTAGAGTTGATATAATCTAAGGTAATTCTCTTTTCCAGAATTGTGTCAAATGTACAAAAATTGTGACCTATGAATACACTTGACCAATATTACATCTGAGTTAATTATTCTTATGACACCAATTATATATAACACTATGTGACGTGATATTCTTGTCTTTTCTTTTCACCCAAAAGTTGTGATGAATATGTGGTGAATTATCTTTACGACTTCCTTTCTCCCAAAATGTCTGATACAAAGATTTGCTTTAAATCTTGGAATGGAGGAGAACAACAAGGATTTTCTCACCCTTCATTTTCGTCACAATCATGTGGATTTTATGTATGCATCCCAGGCAATGTAGAGTAAACAAAAAATTCATTATTAATTACAAATTATAACCAAAACCAGCAGAAATAGGAGTGATTAGATGCAAAGATGAAGAATTCAGCATCATGAAACCTCAACATGTAACTGTACGAATCAATGAAAAATGATTGGGTTACTTTGCTGTTGATAAACATTTAAGCACATAAGCATCAGCAGACCTTACATAAATTGGACAATTATTTCTACAACAGAAAATAAGTCAAAGATAGGCAAGCTCCATTAGCTCCCCACTTTCTTGGTTCCCAACAAATTTCAAGGGAACCCTTAAGAAAAAAATAGCAAACTTTTTCAAGGATTTCTATCCATTGGTCAGGAACTAAAATTCATCCAACCGCACAAAGACATATAAATAAAGCCACATATTTCACAAGAAATATCATAACAAAAGAAAATGGATCAAAAAACGAATTGGATACTTGACAGCACCAATTTAGAAAAAGAAAAGTTTAGATTTTTTCTATGATTTAAAAAAAAAATTCTTATTGATGATTATAAAAATTCCAAAATGACTGCAAGCTTAAAATGCATATAAACACGAACTGTCAGACAACCCATCCTTTTTGTGTGAAGAAATTGAAAAATAGAGAGGCATGACTGTAACATGTGAAAATGAAGAAAGAGTAAAGGGGCATGCTTGATTGCGTGTGAAAATGAAAGAAAAGGTAGTGTAAGAGATAAAGATTATAAAAAATAATAATGGACAAGATGATACAAAATTGCAACAAGTGTTCACTCAAAAATTGCCTCTTCCATACTGTAAGTAATAGTAATATAATAATATAAAAAGATAGAAGACGAAACTACATCGTTTTTTTCCACGATTGAGGAGGGAAATAACAAATTTGTTGCAGAAAAAAATTGACGTTATTTTGCACTTCATACAATAGAATGGGAATGGGATTGGAATTCAGTTGCATGTATAGTATACTCAATTCATTGGCTTTTTATATAAGGTTAGATAAAGAAATTGGATGATTTAACAAATTAAACAACAACAAAATTGGAGGCAAAAATAAAAAGTAACAAAAAAAAGTTATTATAATTTTTTTTAAATTAAATTGAAAAAAAGTATTTATAATATGAAGAAAAAAGAAATTTTAAAACAAATTTTAAAAAAATATAATAAAAACAAAAAAAAAGTTACGAAAATTAAATAAAGAATATATAAATATTATTTAGTTAAAATTGAAAAAATAAGTTTTTTTACGGAGAGAAAAGAATTAAAAAGAATTTTAAATTAAAATAAAATTTTATAACGTCAAAAAAAAAAAAAATGTCTCCATGCTTCGAGACGTGCACAGAGACTTGGTCTCCATGCACGGAGACATTTGTCTTCACGCATGGAGACCAAGCACACTGAGACTAAGAGTCTTCGTGCTGTGTATATATATATATATATATATATATATATAAAATTAAATATATCTAAATATTACTTTAAATTTTTGGTGAAAGGTATGGAAAGTTGCAGTAGATTTAGATTGTCTTTTTTTAGTGTATAATAAAATATATATCAAGCAATGCAAATGACGTCGTTTTTGCTCCCTCACTTAAAAAAAAAATGCTACAATGAGATAAAATGGAACAAGTCACTGTTGATTTTTACAGTAATTTCACATTCTCCTTTTTATATAGTAAGGATAAAAGGGCTAAAGAAGGGAAAATGACAATTGAAGCAAGCGACATAGAATATAGAAAAAGAATTGTTGTAGCGTTAATCTTACAAAGGGAATGTGGCTCAAGTATTCACACACACAGACAACAAAAGATAAAATGTCTTCTTCTTCATTTTTTTTCAAACTAAAGGATTCTTGATTTGCTTGGCAATCTCGCAATATTGCTTCTCATAACTGTATCATCTGATTCTAGAAGCCACAAAACATAATAAATAATTGCAAACATCAAAAAATAAAATGAAAAACAGGAAAAAAGGTTAACCTAGTTGTGTTTGAGAATCAACCACAATTTTTTCTTACGACCATCACGATTCAATTCAAGGCTCACCACCTATGTTTGGTTGTAGTTGGATATCTAGTTTGCATGTTCACATGACTAATTTTGAAGACTAGCTCCAATTTCGCTTGTTGTAGAGACTAGAGAACTAAGATTCTGCTAAAATATTTGTGGAATTTTCTCCTGTGATATTTCAGAGAAAGAAATAGAGGATAAAATGGGTTCAAATGAGAAAGAAAGAGGAAAAATGATGAGAATACATGCACTTAACTAGGAAATTGAATGAAAATGGATGAAAAAAGGACTTATTGTGAAATCAAAGGTGTGAATAAAGGTAAAAATGTCAAAAAATGGAAGATAATAATGTTTTTCTACTATAATAATGAAAGATAGGGACACTATGTGTTAATTAGCCAATCGTTTTCACTAAGTGTGATAAGTTCGGAGTGCATTTTACCTCAACGGACTATTTCACCCTCCAAATATCTAGCAAAATGACATGGTTGTCCCTCCCAAGTAAAAGTAGCAAATTAACATTCTTGCTTCATCATTTGATTCTATACTTGCCCGACAATGAATGGCAAAAATTATATTTGAAACAAACTGCAATCACATTGAATTAGTAAATGTACTTTTTAAAAATATTTACACAATAATGTAACAAGATCTATACACGAGGGGTCATCCACTGCAATTTTCCAAACTGAGCTATGAGCGCGCCATAGCATATCAAGAATAAAAGCCTCGGGAACCATACAAATCCACATGGCAACTGCCCTTTTCTCTAGCAGAGCTTTTGCATTGCCATCTGTGATACTAATTCTTTACTTGTCACTCTCTCTCTCTCTCTCTCTCTCTCCCTCCCCCCCTCCCTCTCTCCTTTTTGTTCTTCTTCGTTTGAAGATTTTACCATGAAGTATTTTTGTTGAGCTTTGCCCAATGTGAAGTGAAAAATTGAAAATATTTCAGTTTTCCTTCTAAAGCTCTCTGATTTGCTTTTATTTGTTTATTAGAGAGCTTTCTTCTCATTCTTGAAGTGCTCTGTTATGCTGCCTATACATACATGTGCTGTACTTGTGTGTATGTATATGCCTATATATGTTGTTTAATTTGTAGAAAGACTGATCACAGAAGTGGGTTATTGACATTGTAGAGATTGGAGCTCAATGCGATTCATTCTTATTTCAAAGGTAATGCTGCTGAATTTTGTTTCTAATTTCTGTTTTGTCAATCCTATTAGGCATGTTTAGTAGTAGGGATATCAACGGGACTGTCCCCACCCATTGGAGATTCTGGGGAGACTTTATCATCCCAATTAATTCTAGTCGGATGAAAATCAGATTTTTGATAGATTTTGATAAAAATTAATGAAACGTGTGTGATCGGAAAAATGGTGGCTGTCATGAAATGTATGATTGAAGTTAATTGCTAACGTTAAACTAGATTAAACGTGTGTAATTTTTTATTTTTTTAGTTTTTTCCGGCCCAAATTCCACATAGACTCGGAACAGTGTGGGACTTAGTGGAGCGTGGATGGAGTATTTTGCCATCCTTATTTAGTAGAAATCAAATATGTGACATGCCACCACTAAATCCACTTGCCATTTTCTCTGTAGAAAGCAGGAAAATTGATTTAAGATGTAGCTGTCTTATCAGTTTGTCATAAATGAGTGAAGCGGTCACGGATTTTGCTGTGTTTGATCTCCATTATTTAAAAATTAGATTTTTTTTTTTCAAATTCATTTTTAACTAATACATTATTCAAGAAGATGATTTCACAAATCAAGGGTGATTTATTTTATGTAATAAAATATTCACATGGGACCACCCCAGTGTGAAGACCTGTAGAACTTCTGTGAATTTATTCCCGTGTACAAGGAATAATACCAATTTCATAGGTAAATCTAAAAATTTCCCCAATTTTTAACCCTACTTTCCTAAAACAGTCACTATTAAAATATATTCTCCTAGAAAATGGGGTTCGAACAAGTACTTAATTTGTTAGCATTATTCTTAATATAATTGATGTTGATGATGGACTTGAAATTTTGAAAAATATTCTATTTCAAATTTTTTGCTTTCATAGTAAAATGACTGTCACTATTTTGGAGACATCTTTTGGAAAGCATCGTGGCAAGTCTATTTAAATTTTGAATATTACCTTTTTAATCTTTAATTCAAATTATAATGACATACTTTTCTAAAGCATATTTTTCCAAAATAAATGTTTATGATATAGTTTCTTAAACAGAGTGAACAAACCCAAATTGTAAATAAAGGTGGGCTGTATAGCTTAATCCGTTTTACACCTCTATCCAACCTAACAATTCCAAAAAGACCTTCTAGATTAATTTTATTTTTCATATTATTATAGCATTTAAACCAAAGGAATTTCCATGAAAAAAAAATGAAAAAAAAGAAATCTTGAATTTTCCAATCTACAGACAGCAGACCCTTCTACAAAGAAAACAAGAATGTCTTCTTCCAACACATCATCTAGTGGGACTGGGACCCTTGAAAAACATAAGTCTATTGTTCTGCTAAACAACTGTATGGTGTGTAGGTACAGTCCACGGGGCTACATATGTCTTAGAAGCAAAGTTTTATGTAACCGTTGGCATGTACGTACGTATATTGGACTATTAAAATTTTTTAAATACTTTCCCTTTTCAATCATAGACATGAAAGAATGATTAATATAAAGAATCCAATGATTTAATAACCAAGATTAGATGGGATAATCCATATAATATGTTTTTAATACACTGTATTCTATTGGGTTAGTATCCACTTTGATTGTTAAGGGGTCCCTTTCGATTTTAGAAAGTTTGGTTTGATGGTCTAGTTTATGTTTTGAACAATATCTTTTTTTGGCTTTCTGGATTTTATCATAATTCATAACCCCACAAATCTTTATCAGTTTTTCTTATCTATTTTGCTGTCAGATGTCGGTTTCAGAATTCCTTTTTGGCCTATTTCTCAAGATTTCTTGAGGGTCTGCCTATGTTGTGATCATTATAATTTTTTGGGTGAGCATTTGCTTTCACTTGGTGTTTCATGCTTTAAGTCTGAATAATCAAGCTGTGAGGATAATGTGTTTATTGCTTAAAAAATAGCTTTAGAGTATTCTTTTTTCATTATGACATTGGATCGACAAAAATCACGTGATAGTAACGTGTCATAAATGTTTATGGTTTCGATGATTCCGTGTAAGGCTCTGATTTGTTTTCAGGCCCTCTTCAATGAAATTGGAATTTTTTCGTCTAAAAAATTCTCAAATTAATGGAATGTGGTTTATGTACTGGTACTTTCTTGTCTGTTTGTTCTTGGAAGTCATGTTACTCCCTTTCTTTGACTTGAATCCATTAGAAGAAATCGGGTTTATAGCTAATTGTACAAAATGAGAATCGTCCTCGACTGAGCATCCTGGTGTTGCTTTAATGTGCTATATAACTTGTAATATTTTGATTAGTTGTGAACTTTTTAACACACTTGTTAAATATAGCAGTAATAATTGCTCTTTTTTACGTGTGATTAGGCATTTCCTGCAGAGAAAGTAAGTAGATTCAATTTTTTGGAATGACAAAGATCTGCTTTAGGAATACTTGAAAGTAAGGTATTGATGCTGGCCTCCAAGTATCCAAATGAATGTAATTTCTGTTTTCTACTTCAAATACTGTACGTAAACAGTTTTCTGGCAGAAACATGCTTGGGATATTGTTAAATTTGCATCCTTTTATGATTTCTTTTGAAGAGTTCAAAGTATTTGTCATGCTCATTTTGTGGAAATTTGTACTAATAACATTTTTAGCTTCTATAAAACAAATCAGATATCATCATTCTGAATTTGGATGCATATTGCTTTTTAAGCGTTTTCATTTTAGGTTGGACTTGAACAGATGACACTTCGAATGGAATTTGCACTTCTTTTCATCATTGCCTTGGTCCAGATTCAGCATACACTTTGCGGTTAGTAATGCCAACTCAGCTGTGCTCTAAAACCTTTATCCATACCCATTTCATTGTCTTTCAGTTTCCAATTTCGAGAAGGCCCTATTAAGACATGTTTGGTAGGAGGATTAGATCACACTTGATGAGAAAAGAAAATAAAAACTTGCTATTATAGTTTCCAATCTTTTCTATACAACGTATCAAACATTTAAGTTATATTCTTTCCAGAGCTTTCTAGTACAGAAATAAGCTTATTGTTAATCTACCATTTGGCAGGTGAACTTTCAAGAACGTCTGAAACAACCAAGTGGACTTGCACCTGTTCTATTGCACAACAAGCGAATTTGAACTTTGTCCAGACAAACTGCTCGTCATCCTGTGATTGCAGTCCTGGTATCATTTATCCTATAACTATTTCTCCACTTCATATTGTTATTGCAACATTTTTCTATACTCTGAAACAAAATTAGAAAATGTGTAAAAATTTTCACTGTTCACCAATATCTTAAATCTGACTAGGTATACAAGCGCTCTAGATGAAGCTAATCATTCCGCAATAAAGTCTCAGCTGCCACCAGTTTAGAACCCAGGAGAAAGATACATAGAATTAGACAAATATTCAGGATAACTATTACTTGCCAAAACTATTATACACTATGAATCCTATGATTAAACTCAAGATGTTCCAATAGTCAAAAGTCCACAAAAGCAAATTACACATTATAAGATTTTCGTCCATTCATACATCTACTCTATTAAGACTCGAGTTTCCATCTTAAAATATTAACCTTGTTAATTGGAGTACTCCAATCCTCTATATGTTAGTTAATATTTTTCATAATTATTCAACACAGAATTTGTCACTTCAACATGCCTCTATAAGATGATGGCTCATTTGAGAACACCAATCTTACAATCCGTATACTCATTTTGAATCTTAATTGGATCGAGTAGCTTGTTTGAGCTTAATGAACTTTGATACCATACTAAGACTTTCAATTTTTATCTTAAAAGGTCAACTTTGTTTACAGAAGTAGTCCAAGCTCTTATATATTGGTTAATTTTTCCATGATTTTTTTTGACGTGGGATTCATCCCTTAACATGCTTATTTGTTTTCCTTCCTTGAAAAAAAAAAAAAAAAAAAAAGGTTAAGTTAATATTTAAAAAAGCATACTAATAATTGAATGTTTCCTATAGCGGAATCTTTGACTGCAATCTAGACCATAATTTTTTTAATATGAGCTCTTGCTGATGGTGATAGTTGTAGCAATGCAAATTTTCACTTTGAAATATTTATGATTTATGTGCCTTTGTCAGTTGATGACAGAACTATATTCATTTCCCATAAGTTCATATTTTGTTCTAAAACTCCTGGATATACTTCACAAATTTCTCATTTTTCATATTTTAAGAAAACATAATTTGCTTACTGTTAGTATGATCTGTAGCTGCAGGAGGATCAAGTGAAAGCAGATGGAAATGTATTTGTGCTGCTGATAAGTTGCCTAGAGTGGTAGGGGAAGATAGTAATAGTGGATGTTTTACGTCATGCGATTGCGACACAGGTACTTGTTTGAAGGCTTTGTAGATTAGTAGGAATTGGCAATTTTCAAATTATTTAAACGGCTGTTTTATTGTGTCATAATAGGGACTTTAGCTGAGAAGCAGCATTGGGAGAAGTGGATTTCAAGCAAAGCAGTTGTGATAGTTCTCTTACTTTGTGCATCACTCACAACTCTAGCATTCGCTGCTTCTTTGTTATGGTATATCTATCGAAAGGATAAATATCCAGATCAATTGCCTCTATTCTCGTCAGATGGACAGACTAGCTCCAGCAGTGGTACCAATTTAAAAAACCTGGGGACTTCTTCAATGGCTGAATATAAAGGTCGTGTGGGTTCATGCATGAAACCTTTAATAGGTAAAATTCCACATTTTGATTTTCTTGGGGATGTTGAATCTCTTTCTCATATCTTGTATCACTTTATCATATGATCATAATTTTTGGGAGGATTGGATAGCATAGATAGTATTAATGTAGGAAAGAGTTGAAAATCATCTTCATTAGACTCTAGTTCTGTGTACCAAACAAACACTCAAGTGTTTGATTTAATTTGTTTTGAAGTTCAGATGAATTTTTTTTCTGCTCTTCAATTGGATACTTTTACATGCAATATGCAATTGCTCGAATGAATCAAACTTGAAGATTGGTTATCGACATCTCTTTTGATCTGTGCTCTTTTGCTTCTTGCTGTCCTAAAGGATGCATTCCAAAAACTTCCTTCCCATTCAGAAGCAAAATGGGAGCAATACACGGAACAATTATACAATTTTCATATTCTGAACTGGAAAGTGCTACAAACAAATTCTCTGAAGCTAATGTGATTGGAGTTGGAGGAAGCAGCCATGTCTACCGTGGTCATCTCAAAAATGGCCAAATTGTTGCAATTAAGCGAATAAAAACTAAGGCGGGGCCAGATGCGGAATATGTTTTCTTGACCGAGGTACAACTGATCTGTCACAAACAGCTATTCTTTATGTATTTGAATAAAACACGCTTTGTTACACAAATAGACCTTGTGCATTGAATGGTTGATACACCATTTCTTGTGCTCAGATAGAATTGATATCAAGACTTCATCATTGTCATGTCGTGCCTTTGCTCGGATATTGCTCAGAACACCAAGGAAAGCATGCTGAGAGGCTGTTAGTTTTTGAGTATGTGCGTAATGGTAATCTCAGGGAGTGTTTGGATGGGGATTCAGGGCAATGTCTGGACTGGGTTACTCGTATTTCAGTAGCTCTTGGAGCTGCACGTGGCTTGGAATATCTTCATGTAGCAGCTGCACCGAGAATTTTGCACAGAGATGTTAAATCCTCTAACATTCTTTTGGATGAGAACTGGAGAGCCAAGGTAAGTAAAATATTTTATTTATAAGCAAAAACTCAGTGAATCAAAAGAAAGAGGTGACTTGTTAAATATTGATCATGCATCAAGCTAAGCGCAAGGCTGGTCAAAACTCTGACTTCTGATCAATAAATACATGAATCAATATTAGTATTCTCAGAAGTTGTTTCGTTTCCCATTAGAAATTTCTGTTGGTTGGTCATTACTTGGAGAAGTTTTCTGGTTGTTCAGTTTGAACTTCTAATGGCATCCTGTTGTTTAATTATGTACATCTCTGCCTGCAGATTACTGATCTTGGCATGGCTAAGCACCTAAATAATGATGGGGTTCAAAGTTGTTCCAGTTCTCCAGACAGAATGCAAGGCACTTTTGGTTACTTTGCACCAGAGTACACAATTGTAGGAAAAGCTTCCCTGAAATCCGATGTTTTCAGTTTTGGTGTGGTTCTTCTAGAACTTATTACTGGTCGGCATCCCATCCACAAGTCTGACAACAAAGGCGAAGAGAGTCTTGTAATATGGGTATGGAAAATCAGTTTCTACGTCATTTGGCATGAAAATCCTGCCAGTGGCTCCATTGATTTCTTCAATATGGAAATCACCATTTTTTTCACATTGAAATCGCATCTTCAACCAGATACTCTTATTTGAGTAAAGGTTTTTTTTTGGAAGGTATTTTGAAATTGTTTACTTATACTCTCAACCTTTATCACTTCACTGCAGGCAACACCTCGTCTACATGACAGTAAGAGAGTGATTTTGGAGTTAGCAGACCCACGTCTCAAAGGGGCTTTCCCAGAAGAGGAGATGCAAGTAATGGCTTACTTGGCGAAGGAGTGTCTATTATTGGATCCTGATTCTCGACCAACCATGAGTGAGGTTGTCCAAATTCTTTCAACTGTTGCACCAGAGAAATCTAAAAGGAAAAACTTGCAACTACATTCTTTTCAGGTAATCTTTGAAACCGACCATTATTAAGCCTTTGATGCTTATCACGTCTATCCTGTGAATAATAATTCCATGTTTGTGTCATGCATTGATCTTCTTTTTTTGCCTTTGAGATTGTGTAAGTTTTAATCAAGTCGAGGTGGAAGCCAAAACGGCCTTGGATGAAATCAGGCTTTCCCATTCTTTTAACATCTAGAAAATGACGATTTTGGTTATATCTATTCACTTGAAAGCTGACTTTTGGAATACATTGAGATGCCCCAAAATGACTGGAATTCATCCATGATTGAGAAAAGAAACATTCATTCTTCTCTTATGAATGGATAAGGAATAATGAAATATAAGAAGAACAAAATCTTCAGGCATTAATCCAAGTTTCTGTTTGCTAGGAAAATTTTCAGATTACTTTCCGAGACTGTGCAGA